TTACACACCTGTTGAACACGGGTTTTATTTTACACACCAAACATTTCAAAAATGTGTCAATTACACACTACTTTTGACCAGCCCCTTTAATATTTAATGCGTTGTATACACGCGCTTTATAAATTAAAAAAAAAATAACGATTCTTTATAATTAAAATAGATTATCCGACCCTTTTCTTAATTCCGACCCATGAAAGATCCAACCAGGTAAGTTAAAAACACCTACACGACCAAATTAACAAACATAAACCCATTTTCCAAGTCCTGTTCTTCATCCCTAAAACTATGAAGATAATCTGACGAGAAGACATCTGGTTGTTGCTGTTTCTTCTTCAGTTTTTCAGGTTAGTATTCACATTTTAAGGTTGTTCAACCCTTTTGATTTGGATGGGTGGGTCGAAATAGTTAGGGTTTATTTGGGTATTTCATCAGGAGTAATTTTAGGGTTTAAGACATCTTTATGGGGAATCTATTGTCATTGTCTACTGAAACCTTTGTGTTTTGAGCATGTGTTGTCTTTTTCTTTCTTTATGTTGTTATATGCCCTTTCTTTATTGTCCATTACGACTTCTTTATTCTTTGTTTGCATGTGAAATTGAAACCTCTTGTCTGCTTCTTTCCAGGGACAATGTCTTTCAAAATTGTTACTTTAAAGTGGTATCACGGGGGTGAGTTAATTATTGGCCCTTTTAGTAGATATGTGGGGGGCAGTCAAACCTTGACTTTAGACGTGGATGTAGATAGGATTTCCTTCTTTGAGCTTATGGATTACACTAGAGAGATGGGCCTAGTTAACGTGGCTGAGCTGTATATATGCCCAATGGATAGGATTGACAAGCTGATAAATGTATTGACTGATAAGGATATTTTAGACATTTGCAATCAGTTAGAGGATGGGGATACACTAGAAATATATGTGACTCATGCTGCCCCTATAGAAGTACTTGACCCTGATGAAAATGGTGAAAGTGTGTGTTGTAGCAAGGCTTCTAGTAAAAGGCCTATAGAGGTCCAAGATGATGAAGAGGTAGATGATGAAGATGCTGATGACATACACTGGAGTTCAGACAGTTCTGTCGCTTCTGATGATGGAAATGCTTCTGATGGTGCTGCAAAAAACTCTTCTACCGCTGATGATGTTGTTTCTGATGATGCTGGGAAGCAAGAGGAAGTAGACATAGACTGGACATCTGATAGTCCTGATGATGTTCCTGATGATGTTCCTGATGATGTTCCTGATGAGTTGGGTGAAGGTAGAGAGAAAGTGAAGAGAAGCAGGAGAAAAAGAAGTGAAAAGCCTAAAGGGAGGGGTGATATAAACATGGACAAGGCAGGTGTAGACATTGGGTTTGATGAGCTGCGTATAGGTAGTAAGCAACATAGGTATGAAGGTTTAGTTGGGACTGATGAGCCATACTTTGGTTCTTCAGATGCTGAAAGTTTTGCATCAGATGTGGAAGAGGAAGATGGTGAAGAACATAAGAAGAAAGTGGAGGAAAAAAAGAAAAAGAAGAGGTTGATCTTTGATCCTACTGTCAAGAAAATCACTTGGGAGTTAGGATTGATCTTTGAAAGTGTTCATCAGTTTAGGGAAGTAGTCACCAAATATGCAATTCAAAAAAGGGTGCAGATTGAGAAGTACATAAATGAGCCACATAGGGTGTGGGTTAGATGTGTGGCACCTAGATGTAGATAGTTTCTTGCAGCTAGTAAAGATGGGAGTTCCAATAATTTTAAGGTGAAAATATATAATCCAGTGCACAAGTGTTATACAACCAACAAGAACAAGTTGTGTAATTCAAGATATCTTGCCAAAAAATTCAAGAGCAGAATTATGTCACAACCAGGTATGAAAGTTAGGGAGTTCAGAAAATTGATAAAGCAAAAACTGGACCTCTATGTAGGGAGATCAACTGCCCACAGGGCTAGAGCAAAGATATTGAAAGAAATCATTGGTGATGTGCATCAAGACTTCAAAAGGCTCTATGACTACAGAGATATGATTTTGCAGACCAATCCTGGGAGTACCTGTGTGGTAAAAGCAGAAGATCCAGGTGATGGGAAGCTGGTATTCTCCAAAATCTATGTCTGTTTACATGCCATGAAAAGGGGCTGGCTGGAAGGATGCAGAAGAATTATTGGCCTTGATGGATGTTTCTTGAAAGGAGTTTGCAAGGGACAACTTCTTGTAGCTGTCTCCAAAGATGGAAACAATCAGATGTTTCCAATTGCATGGGCAGTTGTGGAGGTAGAGAACACATTCAATTGGACATGGTTTCTGAAATGTTTAAGTGAAGATTTGGGCTTACAAGATGGAAGAGACCTTACAATGATGTCTGATATGCAGAAGGTAACTACTTTCAGTTCTGCTTCAGTTGTTTAATTAAATTCTGTTCTGCTTCAGTTTTTCTGTTTTCATTATGTTCTGCTTCAGTTTTTCTGTTTTCAGTTGTTCTGCTTTTTATTGTTCTGGAATGCTGCAGGGTTTAATTAATGCTGTTAGAGACTTGTTACCTGAGTGTGAACACAGGATGTGTGCTAGGCACATCCTTACAAATTGGTCAAAAGAGTGGAGAGGGTTGGAGAGGAGAAATACTTTCTGGAGATGTGCAAGGGCTTCTAGTATTCCAGAATTGAATGACCAACTTGATATGCTAGACAAGCTTGGGGATGGAATATGTCAAAGTTTACTCCACTATAGAAAAGAAACATAGGTGTAGAGCTTATTTTAACTGTGATAGGAAGTGTGATGTAATT